CTCCCGGGTCTCAGGCCACACGTACTGGGTTTATGAGGCATGAGTGTTCCCTGGCATCAGTGTCAGCACTTCCATTTCTCTAGAGTTCTAGTCATTTCTCAGACAGTTTGGAGAACGTAAGAAATATCCAAACAGTTGCACAAGGGGTGCTGCTCAGAGAGGGATGGTGCAGTGGGGCAGGCTGCTGGCTCGAAGGCCCAGCACCGTGTGATGCCCTGGCCGTGTCCGTTCATGAGCTGATGTGAGAACATCCCAGTGGGCCGTCTGAGGTGGAGTCTTGGACTTCAAGAGCTTATCGGTTAACTGGGGCAACAAAACTAACATGAGGTAGTTCAGCGCTAAGCTAGATGCAAAAGATTCTTAGCGCAAAAGGAATTTAGAGAAGGTAGTGCTAGGTGCGGGGACACTGGCAGCAGTTCTCAAGTGTTTTTCAGTGTTTCATGTTTCAATGTTGGAAGCTACCTTCTGTAGCTTTTCCAACTTTGGGTGTGACTTGCTTTGCCCTTCAGACTGTCTGCTGAGAATTTTCCTAAGTTACTGAAAAAGTAATTCAACTAGAGTTTGAATGTCCAACAAGCCATCTTTGGGGGCCGCAAAAAATTAATTGTTCACTGAACTCCTTGGATTTTGGAGCTGTCTCCATGCCTTCTGTAGCATTTTGCTGCGTTACTGCTTCTCATGCCTGTCCTGTCACTAACCCAGGACGCCCCAGTGGGGAGAGCCTTGGCTACCTTTGTCCTCAGGGCCAGCACCTGGCACGGCCCCAGCCAGCAAAGGATTGTAGGGAGGGCCATCTGGCAAGAGGCGCCCACTGCAGATGTTCAGGGCCACAGGCCAGCAAAATGGCTGCCTAAGGTGAAGAAGCGAGAATGGCCAGACGTTGTCTGACATACTTTGGTCATATTGTCAGAAGGGCCCATTCCCTGGAAAAGGATATTATGCTTGGTAAAGTGGAGGGTCAGCGAAAAAGGGGAAGGTTATTGTGTTAGACTGTGTTCTCTAGAGAAGCAAAACCAGTAAAGCTTATATAGAGAGAGAAAGAGAAATTTATCTTAGGAAGATGGCTCACACACTTATAGAAGCTGGCAAGTCCCAAGCTCTTGGATCAAACGTCAAGCTGGAGGCTTTTTCCGACTCACGCTCCTATAGGGACTGAGGAGCTCAAGGTTGGCAGGCAGTATACTGGCTGTTGACTCCAACGAATGACGAATCCAAGATCTCCAGGCCGAATGGTGGGTTGTTCGCTCACGGACAGTTGTAGGCAGCA